ACCAGACTCTCGTCACCACACACAGTTCATGGGATCAAGCAACCAAAAAGAAACCAACCCCAGACAGTAACTCCACAATAAGAGTCTCAAACTCAAATTACCCGAAGACCACTTGAAGTAAAGTTTGACTGAGATTGACCTCATCAAGTATCCCACTAAAACATGCTTAAAGACCATTAGAACTAAAGTTTGATGAGTGAGGTTGACCTCATCAAGTATTCCACTAAAACATGCTTAAAGACCACTGGAACTAAAGTTTGATGACTGAGATTGGCCTGATCAAGTATTCCACTAAAACATGCTTAAAGACCACAGGGGCTAAAGTTTGACTGAGATTGGCCTCATCAAGTATTCCACTAAAACATGCTTAAAGACCACAGGGGCTAAAGTTTGACTGAGATTAGCCTCATCAAGTATTCCACTAAAACATGCTTAAAGACCACTGGAACTTAAGTTTAACTGAGGTGGACCTCATCAAGTATTCCACTAAAACATGCTTAAAGACCACTGGAACTAAAGTTTGATGAGTGAGATTGGCCTCATCAAGTATTCCACTAAAACATGCTGCAATTATTTTTCAAGAATAGCTGTGGTGTGGTTTGTTCCTTCTTTCCAGTCAAACTTCTATCGTCCTTATTTTTCTTCATTTTTTGTGCACGTTACTTTCTTGTAAAACCTTTAATCTTCGGCCCTCATATGATCTGACTGTGATGGAAGTGCCATGGAGCTCTTACTAAATTTTTTTGAAATAAATACATTAAATAAATAAATGAATAAATAATAAAGCATGAACGGGTCTTGAGAAAATACTATGCTTCTTTTGCTACCCCTTGCTGCCAGAGACCTGGCAGCATATCTTCTCACATGGGTCAGCCACTTTTGGTGTTTGAGAAATATGCACGCACAAAACTAACACTTACCTTTAATGTCAAGTACTGGCCGCAAATATATACACCGCGGCAATAGAAACTTTCCACTTAGAGATAAGCCTATATTGTGCTTATTATTTAATGTATATAAAGACAAAAATTGACACAGGCATATTTCAAAGTATGTTAAGAAGTTTGATACCTTTTGATTCTCGATCAAGTATCAAATGCTGGCACCGTGTTAAGCATAAACTGGTACCCCTTGATTTCAAAATTTCACGTCAGTAGCGGGTATTTTTCGCCCTTTACAAAGATGCAAGCTTTGCAAGTTCTTCTCATTGATCCTGTCAGGGTTGGGTTTTTTCTTATTTAAAATGTAATCGCAGTGGCAGTCTATTCCACTCTTGAATCAATGCTTGTCTCAGTCGTTGTATCGTGTTAATGTCGTTTTGGGAGCTCACTCTTAGGCCCATGGGTGACAGGTGTGTTGAGTAGGCTAGCAATGGCAAAACATTCACATTGTGCTGCTGTAGATATGGCACCTTTACACGGGCAATGTGTGGGCGTGCATTGTCTTGCTGGAATGTGTGCATACGTCTGTGGGTTTGAAAGAATGGAACTGAGTTCGCCCGGAGAACATTCTGGTATTTGTTGGCGTCGACCGTAGCGTTCAAAATGTGCGGCTAGGTTCTGTGGATTAAAGATATTCAACCCCATACCATCACACTACAGAGTACAATCGGCCGATCTGTATATTTGATGCATGCAGCAGTCTGCTACTCTCTCTCTGTCTCTCTTTCTCTCTCTCTCTCTCTCTCTCTCTCTCTCTCTCTCTCTCTCTCTCTCTCTCCTTTATATCCTCAAACTCTCCGAGAAGAAAACTCCATTCCAGACGAATGTGACGATTTGCCCTGTCAGTTCAAGCGTAATTTTTGGAAAGATGGAAAAAGTTGGTCATTATAGGGCGGCCTTGCTCGATGTCCAAATATGTTTTAACGCCGCTGTGATAACTCTTTCAGTGTCTGTATGAAATTAATGTGCAGAGCTGGTTGTTGTGAGAAAACGATCTCGAAGATTACATAGCAGTATCTGTCTGTCTTCTTGGGCAGTGTCGACCTGTGGTCTGCTTGGTCTGCGTCTGTCATGTGTAAATCCAGTGACTTGCAACCTGTCTTTCAGGATATTGATGGCAGGATGGGAGCAAAGAAACATCGTCGTCATTCTACTGGGCCGCTGATACAATTTGATTCAAATTGCCCCACAGCTCTCCTCGGGGCTTAACCTTGGCATCTTGTACAGCAGTTTAAGTCAACAAAAACCTGCTGGAATGTGGATGCAACCTGTTTTGTCGTTCGAAAATCGCCAATGTGTTGATCTAAACACAATTTAGACAATTTCATAAGTTTCGCAGAACATAAATCACAAAATATGTTAATTTGCCTGTTGGTCACGTGACCTCGTTGTCAAATTTTTGTTCAAGAAACACATCTGCGCGGAGTCATCGTTGGATACATGATGAGTGATGTGCAAAATTTCACTCACTATCTCATGTAAACAAGGGCGCAGTTACAAAAAACAAAGAGGAACGTTTCTATTGGGCCTGGGTATTATCGTCGTGTGGGCCTTAATTTTTGGCCCGAGTGACGCGAGGTTCCCTTTCATGCCTCAGCGTGCCAGATTTAAAATATCTATCAATATTAGGGGTACCTGAATTGCTAGCAACGTGGTTGTTTTTCTTCATTTACGCCTTTCCATCTATGCCCACATATTTAAAAAAAATAATATTCAGATTTGATTTTGAGCACATTGATCTGGCTTGCTTCTGTTCGTTTATTTCGATGAGTTTATTGCTGTTTTGTGATGCTTCAAGGTTTAGAAGACTAGATTATGTAATGGTTAGGGCTCTCACAGCTGCACGTTACGTATGTGGGTTTGAATCGTTTATTATTTCTTCTATTTCGTCTGTCTGTTGCGAACCGACATGTTATTTATCTGCGTTGGCTCTGACATGCAGGGTCGAAACAGCCCACCTCTTAAATAAGCTGAATTGGGCTTATAAAGTCGTAAAACATTTTCAAGCAGTTTGCAAACGTCGTAATGTTCCGACCTGCCATAACCCATACACTTCGGTGACCAAACTCTTTTTTAAAACACTTTTAGTTTATTACCCTTGAGCCTAGCATGAAGCTCAGAACCTGTTTCCCACTAGGTAGAGGTAATCATCTCCCCCCCCCCCCCTTCCCACCGAGCAACGGGTTAGCTCTCAGAGGACCCGTCTTCTTGTCCATCGACAACGCTAATAGTCTCAACATTGCGGGACACTTTTTAAAAAAAAGGAAAAGAAGCACATAACTTCGTCATTATAGACATATTTTTCAATTCATGCTTTCTCTACCTGAACTTTATAATCGCAGGCAACAGCTCGCGCACTAAACAATAATATTAGATCTATTATGCAAATTCGTGTTTCTTACTTTTCGTTTGTATGTATTGTTTCAAAACGTGCCATAATATTGCCTTTGCATTTGGCATGTTGCTGATCGGACATACTGTCTCACCGTCGCGGATCTAAGAGAAACTTTGAGTTCTTTTTTTTCGGGGTTTTTTTTTTAAATAAACGTTTTGAGGCACTCACTGCACAATTTGGTCACGTAAGTGCCGAAGATCAGATTCGTTACAAGAGAGTAACAAGCATAAACACGAAGGAAAGAAGGAGAGATAAGGAAGATAGAAGTTTGATTAGAAAGAAGGAGCAAACCACACCAGAGCACCCGCCAACCATCCACAGAAAAGGTGTGTAGTATTAACAAACGACATCAGAGCACCCGCCAACCATCCACAGAAAAGGTGTTCAGTAATATCAAACCACACCAGAGCACCCTCCAACCTTGGCCATCTACAGAAAATGTGTGCAGTAATCAACCCATTTAGTTGCGTATGACCTGTTGTGTTTCCCCCACTACTTTGCCAGGGTGCCCGCTGTTTCAGGATTCCGTCCTATAAACCCTCGGTGCTGATCGTTTTGTTAGAATCCACTCCCGAGTGCTCTCAGACCTTGTGTTTTCTGCTGAATAGGGGAGTTTGTTGGAATGATTCTCCAGCTGTGAGTGAAACATCGTTAGAGACAGAGGGATCTTGTCTTGTGTCTGTGACTCAGCGTGCTTCTGAGAAGTCACGTAATGTTTTCGTGTTTTATTTTAAAGTTTGTTCAATCAAATTTGTTTTTTTACCACGTTCCCCCATTCTCAAATAAGTAACACTGTGCCAAATTTGTATTCATAAACCAATTTATGCAAGTAGACATATAAGTCGTTAATACCCTTTCAAATTCCGGGTTTCTTAAATGTAAAAGTAAGATTAATCGTTAAATTTTGTCAATTGTATGATATTTTCTTGTGCCCTATTTTTAAAAAACATCTTTTTTAACTTGGTACAAATTATCTAAAAATCAAATAAAACACAGATAACAATGATTTATCAGAGAAAGTGTTACAATGTCGTTATGAATGTAATTCTTTAACATTTTGATCATGTCCCACTCCAAAAGTATCCTTTTTCAAAACATAGGTATATATATCAAACACCTTATGAAACTGGGTTTTTTTTACAGCAAAAGTGGTGCAGATAAGAACGTGAAGAAAATGAAATAGAACAACAAAAATAAACAGGATAGCGAGAAGAATAGCAAAAGACAGAGAGTCGTTAAGAACAAGAGAGTGGCAATCAGAAAGACACAACCAGTAACCAACAACAACTACGAAATAAATCAACTTTATACCACTGCCCGCAAAATTACCTGAAGTTTCCTGAAGAACCGTCCAAGATGCTGATGAGCCTGCGATCTGTCGTGTCCACATTGGTCACGTGCCTTTACCTGGCAGTTTTCGTGACTGCTCGTCGCCGCTCCTGGACCACAGGCGATGTCCGTCTGGTGGGGGGTCACCGCCGCTATGTGGGGACAGTAGTGGTCAACTACCGAGGTCGCTGGGGCTCCGTTTGTGACGACAACTGGGGTATAGAGGAGGCCAATGTCGTGTGTCGTCAGCTGGGCTACTCCAAGGCGGTCCGGGCCTCCCGCCGATCTATGTACGGCGTGGGAAGACGTGAGTAGAGATGGTGTTGTCTGGCTTTTGTTTGTGGGCAGGAGTTTGTTATTGGGTCTACTGTTACGTGTATACATGTATAAACACACACACACACACACACACACACACACACACACACACACACACACACACACACACACACACACACACACACGCACAGACACGTACGGCGTGGGAAGACGTGAGTAGAGATGATGTTGTCTGGCTTGTGTTTGTGGGTATGGACACATGTATATATGTTGTGTCTGTTATTACACGTATGTATGTATTATTATGTACGAGCAATATTAAAGGTCCGAGCCTCAGCTTGGTCTCACGTTATGTCCTTGGGAAAGGCACTTACAACGAATTTCCCACTTGGCTCAGTCTTTTCGGAGATGGACGTCGAACTCGGGTTGATGGGGGCGTTAAACCTCTACCATTTCACCATTTATCGCACAACGACTTCTACTACTAGCTAGCTATGTTGAGATAAAGAAAAAAGTCAACCTATCGTATCGTTTCAAAGCTCTAATTGATGGTATGTCTATATACAAAATATACAAGGCAGGGGTGGGCCCAGAACAACATACTTAGGGAACCTAAACAAATGGGTAACAGGGAAAGATCAGGGCAACGTAGCTTTTTTGAGAGCATCCGAGCAAAGGAATAATAGATCGCCGATGTCTGTCGCAGATCTGGCACTGGATGATGATGATGTCTATATATAATAAATATAGATCGCTCTTTCAATGCGTCTTTACTTTGAAACTGATTGCAGCGCGGAACATTTTCTTTATACTCAAATGAGGCAGGAAAAGCTTTATCAAAAATGGTAGACTAGGTCGAATCTCCTCGCTAAAGCTGATTACTTTTTACTGGGATGTTGTATACCTCTTGGCCCCTCGTTGATCTTGACATTCATGGTCGAAGCCCGCCTCCTAAGCTGTGTCGGTGGAGGCGTTAAAACACCAACAACAACAAAACTGTTGATGCAGTATAGGACGGGTATAATGTATATATATATATGTATATATA